AAAAAAAAAAAAAGCATCTCCAGCACTCTTCCAGGTAGAGAAAATATGCCCAGATAACTCAATTATCAGTGGGGTCTCTCTCCCACAAGAAGTTTTATAGCAGTGATGGATATGGCCTGTGTTGGCAATATTCACCAATTTCCATGTTACCTGTGAATCAAGTCCTCTGATATTTAAGTAAATAGGATTGTTCAATTCTGCTCACATGTCCTAATGCTGGAAGCTCTCATCTTCTACAACCCTCACGACTGGAACACCTCACCAATCCAGAGTTCCTGACAGTATCTCACATCCCCCGTCTTTACAGGGGACAAGCTATCTGGGGGACAAGCTATCTGGGGAACAGAGCAATCAGTGCTTTCTGGTTGGTCTTACTGTATCCCCCCCCCCCCCACCATTTTTCTACTGCTTTACTTTTCTTTTCCTTTTTTTTTTTTTTAACATTTTTAATGACTTTCTTCCCCTAAATATTTTTAAATCCTGGGCATTGAGCACAGTGAATGAGAACAAGGTATTCTTGGGGTTCAGGCCTGGGGTTCAGAAGCAGCTCTGCAAGGGGCTAGTGATTCAGTTCTGGGCCCGAGTCTCCTCTGAGCCTCACAGGCATCGCCTGTATGTCGCTGTGGAGCATATCCTACGTATCACATATCATTTTATGAAGTCAAATGTTTATCTGATCAGATTCAGATTATACACGTAATTTACAGTCTCTCTGTATAGATACAGATCCAGATGATAGATACAGATATGTAATGTCAGATATCAGGATTGATCCAGAAATATTTTCCTTGGGCACCTAGGTGGCTCAGTTGGTCAAGCAAAAGACTCTTGGTTTCAGCTCAGGTCACGACCTCGCGGTTTCATGAGTTCGAGCCCCACGTTGGGCTCTGCACTGGCATCATGCAGCCCGCTTGGGATTCTCTCTCCCTCTCTGCTCCTCCACACTCACACTGTCTCTCTCAAAATAAATAAATAAAAAAAAACATTTTCCCCATTTTATAGTAGTGTTTTCATTCACTTCGGCATCTAGAGCGGGGTTGGCAGTCAGAATATGAAACGTTGGTACAAGCAGGATTTCATGGGACGGTCAGCCCACCGCCTGAGGCTCTCCCCTCCCTGGTCCCCTGGTCCCTGATTCTCCATGGCTCATCCCAAAACCGCACTGAGGGTGGTCAGGAGCACGAAGGCCACGTTGCTACTCTGTCCACAAGTTTTTCTCATCCATAGCACGGTGTCTGTCTAGACGTTAAATGGCACGTCATTCGTTCATTCATTCATCCGGCAAGCACTCACTGAGACCCAAACCACGGGGCCTCAGGAAGTCATACAATGGCTGTTTCCCCTGTGGGTCACCGGGCCCTCCAGACAGCCCTGTGGCTCCCTCCTCAAATTGCTGAGTCCCTGCTGCCACCAGGATCACAGTAGACAACCAGCTACCCTCCTCCCCTACTCACTGATCTTTAAGCTACTCCATAGTCCACTGCGCCCTCTGACAGTCCGTCGCCCAGTTGACTGTTACCAGTCCCTTCCTGCTAGGATATCAGCTCTCAAAGGCACAGGAGCTGTGACTGCGGCGTCCAGGCACCTCGAGGTGCCCGGCGCCCTCAGGTATTTTTTTGAATGAGGGAACGATTGAAACATTAAAGATTTAACTGTAATTTCATCGTATCATCGATTTTGCAAAAAGCCGAACATTAACAAAAATGCGGAGGCTTTGGGAGAAATCCTTCTTCCTGCACATTCAGGCATGGATCCTGGGAAAAAAGGGCGGGCCAGCACAGTCTGGCTCCAAGGGCTTCGGGTGTTAGGAATCTAGAGACACTGAATGGATGGCCTCACATTCAGTAAGTTACAGACTGGGAAGATCTTTCACCGAGAAGCAGAGGTGGTCCCTTCCTGAAGAGGCAGAGACTCCAAAGTACTTTATACAATATAATCTGTTTCAAAACTAGCCAAAAAGCATTGTAAATCCTCACTGTTGTGTCTGTTTCCTCCTCTGACAGGTGCACTGCCAAGGAAGGGCACCTGTGTCCAAAACGTCCTCGTAACAGCAACGCCTATGAGGGTGCCAGGCGCCTTCCAGGCATTAAGTGGTGGAATTAATTAGAAAAACAAAGGGAAGGGGCGCCTGGGGTTAAGCGTCAGTTAAGTGTCAGGCTCAGATCATGATCTTGTGCGCATCGGGCTCTGTGCTGACAGCTCAGAGTTCAGAGCCTGCTTCGGATTCTGTGTCTCCTTCTCTCTCTGCCCCTCCCCTGCTCCCACTCCGTCTCTGTCTCTTAAAAAATGAAATAAAATGTTAAAAAAAATTTTTTTTTAAAAGGGAATACAGGGGCGCCTGGGTGGCGCAGTCGGTTAAGCGTCCGACTTCAGCCAGGTCACGATCTCGCGGTCCGCGAGTTCGAGCCCCGCGTCGGGCTCTGGGCTGATGGCTCGGAGCCTGGAGCCTGTTTCCGATTCTGTGTCTCCCTCTCTCTCTGCCCCTCCCCCGTTCATGCTCTGTCTCTCTCTGTCCCAAAAATAAATAAACGTTGGGAAAAAAAAAATAAAAAAAAATAAAAATAAAAGGGAATACACATTCAATCAAAAAATGAAATAAAATGTTAAAAAATTTTTTTGAAAAAGGGAATACACATTCAATCAATACACATTCAATACACATCAACCAATAAGAAGGCAGGAAAGTGTCTAAGCCTATTTTAGAGCACTTTCCACTAAAGATAGTCACAGTCAAGTTCTAGCACAAAGGGCTTATTCTTAACTTTTGGGATGGGCTTGTTTTTTTATGCCTCCTGCCCTTTGGCTTTTTTTTCTTCATGGGTACTACTCGAATGAAAATAGGTAAGCAGACGATACCTGGGTAGGGAATTTTCCCGTAGGTGACGATTTCGTACAGGAGAATTCCAAAGGACCACACATCAGACTTAATCGTGAAACATCCAAAGTTGATCGCTTCTGGAGCCGTCCACTTGATGGGGAATTTGGCACCTAAGGGAGAAGACATGTGTCACTTGGGCCTCTGAGCTGACACGAAAAAAGTCCTGGGCATGTGGCCTTCATACTTTCCTTCTCTGGGGGAAGATTTTAATCATTTCTTTTGAATGGAGAGTGCCTCCATACAGTACAAAACAGAGACAGTAGAAAACATCATACTGAAAATAGTCGCCTCCCTCCCCTGTGTCCCTTTTGGGCATTCCCCTTGTGAGAAACAAAGTTCCTTGTGTGCCCTCCCAGGGACATCATGACGGGCCCACCTGAAACAAAAGAACATGACACGGAATGTATAGGCATTTATTCTTCGCTCACATATTCGTCCCTCGACACCGGTCTCCAAAGCATACATCCTCAGTGTTCAGATGGTCACCGGACCCATTCTATGTTTGTATGGAATATAAATAATCCCTTGACGCGCACATTCTGGAGGGCAATCTCTGTAAACCCACACCAGCGGGAATTTTAGATACGACTCCAAATGTTCAGGTCTCCTGCCTTCATTTGCTCGGAGCAAACATTACTACTTGCGGGAACTGAGTAGCATAATGATCTGCCCAGAGGGAAGCAGTAAGGACACCAGGATTCGGGAATTTCTTGAAGTATCAGACCCAAGTTGGAAATCCGAACTAGAACAGTAAGGACAGGAGACGGCCCTGTAGAACAGCTAGGTCCTGCACGCAGGGTACTCACTCTAGCATGTTCTGGCGATTAACCCCACAGGGCTGGGCAGCAGCAGGGGGGGGTCGGGGGGGTGGGTGGGGGAGGGGCAGGGTGTCTTGAGGTGGGTGGGGGGAGGTCAGTCCTGCCCAGCGCGCCCTGCTTTGAATCCCAGGTCTGCTGTTTCCAACTTGGTGTGACCCTGGCAAGTCACTTAACTGTCTTTAGGCCTTCTGGGCACCTGTATCTCTCCGTCTCGACCCTGAGGAGACGGAACCTCCCCAAGGTTGGTGCCAGAGTCAACTGGGTTGATCTGCGTGCTTGGCACAGGCTAAACATTCCCGTTGCCCTGAAATGGCCACTATTTAATTCTAGAACCCAAGCTCTCTGAGCTAAGCCACCTGTCTCACACGAGAACAGTTAGTTATTTTTGTGAGACACCAGTCTCGTCATATCCAACAAAACCAGTGGAATATATTCCGGCTGGTGTAGGTCGAGGCTACCCCTCCTGGGTTCGATTCTTGGCTCTCCCACTTACTATGAGGCCTTAGCAGCTGCCGAATGTCCCCGTGGCCTGACCTAGAAGGTGGGAAGGGTGATGATAGGACAACAACGTGGCCTATTCGCCTTTTCGCTGCCTTTTCGCTGAGGACAAGTTATTACCCAACCTCAGGGGGGAGCCGCCTGAACCATGATGGGCACAAGAGACGCTAAACAGATCAAAGCGGTGTTTCCAATGCACCTTTTTTTTTTTTTTTTT